GTCATAGTGCTGCCTGGTGAAATGTGCGTGCATGTCATAGTGCTGCCTGGTGAAATGTGCGTGCATGTCATAGTGCTGCCTGGTGAAATGTGCATGCATCTCATAGTGCTGCCTGGTGAAATGTGCGTGCATGTCATAGTGCTGCCTGGTGAACTGTGCGTGCATCTCATAGAGGTGCCTGGTGAACTGATAGTTCTCATAGTGCTGGCAAGTGAAACGTGGGTGCAGCTCTGCTGGACATGGTGGCCATCGGTGTCGCTCACCCAGGCTATAGAAGCTGAGAGCCCCGTAGTCGAAGAAGAAGCAGATGTGCCTGGCCCGTGTGGACATGGAGCTGAAGGTGTGGGCACAGCTGGAAGTCAGGGGGTAGAGGCAGCAGGACGCCAGGAATACCAGCAAAGGCCAGGAGTAGGCGTCGCGCAGGCCATTCTGCATCAACGCCACCATCAGCAGCTTCCACAGGAAGTACCTGCGTGGGACAGCGAGCGGCTGATGGGCGGCCCAGTGCAAGGCCAGTGACACGGCATGTGCATCCCAGCAGTGACGCAGCTACATCCACCACGAGGAGCAAGCTACTGCAGACCACGCAAAAAATGACACAAATGTCCCATAAAGCTATGAAAACGAGGGGGGGCATATTTCTTTGGCTAAAACATATGCGAGTAACAATTCAAGCAATAATAGGTTTAATGAGTCTATTCACTTTGCCCACCATTGCAAGGTTTCACATACGGGGTTCAAGTGAGTCTGGGGAACTGCAGACACCCTGGGAAAGACAGACACACACCAAGGGCAACGTCCACCCATCTGCGCTATCCATCCATATTACAGATGTGGATGCAATACAGGGTCATTTGGGGGCTCGAGCTCATCAAAAAGTAGGGGGCGCTCTGGGCAGGATACAGACATACACCATTACACACTGGGGGAATCTTAGAACCACCAGTTCACTAAACTGCAAGCTTTTGGACGGTGGGGGGTTATCTCAAAAACAAGTAGAAAGTGTCCAGGGTGCGGAGGACCAGATGTACAATGTAACTCCTTCAAATGCAATAGCATTTGGATTAAATGTTTATATTTCACACATATGATGTAGTTCAGGGGTATATATATTGGCCCCATCTGATAGCTGATTGGCCCATGGAGTGCCCCCTCCCCTGTCACTCACAGATTTAAAACATATCATTGGCTAATGATAAGCCAGGCCCCTGTATGAATTATGACAATTCTTATGTCCTCTTAAAAATGTCAGAATCACCCCAGATGTTGCTCTAGTACAGGACATTTAGAAATGTGGAAGTACCATGGTCAGCTCATCACTTACCTTGGTCTTGTCATCACTTAAGGCATAAACGGTGGACACTGACGTTCACACTGAAAGCCCCCTTTAACTCTGCCTTGCCTGTGTCACTTTAAAGATCCCTTCATAACTTCCTAAGCCTGAATGACGGGAGCTTCTCAGTCTCATTATTAACGCTTTGCTGATTAAACTGGGCCTTTGTGAAATTCACTAATGACTAGTGACTGTACCTGTCCATTCAGCTGCCTTCAAGGCCTCAAAAGTGTATTGATGCGACCATGCGTCCTCAGCAATAAGAAATGGCAAATTTCATATGACTCTATTAGTCTGCGGAGCTAAAACAAATGACAACTAATTAGCAGAAAACACATTACAGAACTTTAACAAGGAATGCCCAAACTGGCCTTGATACCACACGCTGCTGGGGGAGTAAGACACCCCACTGGAGATACACTGTGCACTTGCACACGCTGCTGGGGGAGTAAGACACCCCACTGGAGATACACTGTGCACTTGCACACGCTGCTGGGGGAGTAAGACACCCCACTGGAGATACACTGTGCACTTGCACACGTTCAAACACATCAGCTCTGTTGTTATGAACACACACGCGGCAGTTACCATGGAATCAACAGCTAATCATCGCAGGGTTCTAGGTAATGTTTAGACTTGTGTTGTGTACAGTGTCGTCAAAATAAAAGCCAGCAGCTGCCTCGCAAGGGAAGCAGGCAGCATTCTCCATGAGCAGGACTCCGGATATCTTGTGTCCCATCCTAAACAAGAATGGACCGGAATTTTGGGAATCGCAGAAATGCCGCTCTCATGCACACCGCGATAAGCCAGCCGCGTGAGAACTGCAAGATAATCTAATCCAGTGTTTCTCAACCCAGTCCTCGCGGACCCCCAGACAGTCCACATTTTTGCTCCCTCACAGCTCCCTGTCAGACAGACCACATTTTTGAAAAATGTAGACTGTCTTGGGTGCCCGAGTGACTGTTCAAATCACGCCCGGCATTTGGAGGACTAACCCAACCGGGTGATCAGGATTTTAAAGCTCAGAGTCTTTTGTTCCCACTCAGCAATGACTTCAGCTTCAATAAGTGCACTTCTCTGTGCCTCCAAGTCAAATGAGGGCATGGTGTGACTCCTACTCTTCTTCAAAGAGGGGCACAGCCCAGGGGCAAAGCTGAGGGGTTCGCAGGCAGGGTCATCCAATGAGCGAGATGCCCAAAAGGTCTCCTGTTAAACTACGCTTTTGTTAAGGGCTCTCCAAATTAAATCGAGGGCGTAATCCCACCCTGGCCCCCAACACACCGGGCAGAAAAGAGCAGGAAGTCGTCTACCCCGGATTTGCCAGCATTAACAGCTACCAGCGATCTCTGCGCAAACAGACCCATCCGAAGAGACTCACAGCCACAAGCTTCCCTGTCCCCTTTCACCCAGAGCCAGTCGGAGCACCCTGAAGATTCACCAGACGTACTCTCAGCCACACAGCTATAGTCTGAGCAGTACCATGTAGGTAGGAAGTGAGTCCAGATGTTGAGCGTCTCGTTGGTGAGCTGGAAGAGGCTGAGGACGCAGTCTGTGGCAGAGCTTCTGGGATGGCGGTACCCTGAGATGATGCTGTCCTCCTGGAACACCTGCAGGGGGGGAGTGAGAGGTGGGTGCGCTGAGAAACCCGAGAACAGCTTCCTAATGCATCACTGATGTTCTTTTTTTGACCAATCAGAAAACACGGATTTCACGTTTTTTTTTTTTTTTTAAACAAATTGTTGTAATTGCAAAGAATAAAATTATGACACTTACCGTGGGCACTTGGTGAACAGTGAAAATGGGGGGAAATTTGATCAAGTTCAACATGGTGCCGGTGGGATCGCCAGTGCTCTGGGCCAGACAGACACCTAGAGACAGACACCTAGAGGGAGGGCGTGAGCTTTATACAGGGCAGTGGCTCCGAAAGCCCTCCCCTGCTTACATATGTCCTTCTCAATAATGAAGACCATTCACAATTGAAACAGGTCTGGTTTTACAGCAAACAACATTGTGATATCATGAGAATTCGCTTCACACAGAGTACACGTCTCTTGATGTAATGAGTATGTTTATTTAGTGTCACAAGTTTTTATTTGATTCATGATCTTCAAAACAAGCAATTGTCATGAGAGGAAGAAGCGAAAGAGAGGCACAGGAAAGAGGTACGGATGGTGAGTCAGTCTCTGACAGGCCGCTCTGAGGACACAAAGGTACATTATGGCACTGTGGCGGAGAAGCCGCTGCCGTCACCTCCTGTGTAGGAGCTGGACCCTACGGAAGGTCCCAAGAACAGCCCTGACAACCAAAGGCCTCTGCACTCAAAGAGCTGAAGATCGACACAGCAGCCTGCTCTTCTCGCTTCTAAGCCGGCTCCTTGTTATTTAAAGGCTGCAAATGGATTTAGTTTAGCTACATAAACAGGTAAATCTGGCTTATTAGTTTGCAGCTTTCTGCATGGTGTCATGATGTGTAAGCGCCCAGAGCGCAGACAAATAGGCAGGAAGCCAGGGATCGGGAACACGAGGTTTAATTAAAGGAATGGTAGGCAAAAATAAAGAACACTATTACGCGTGACACTACACGCAACACTACAACATCAATGACCGGACTGGGGATACTAACACAGACGTGGACTAAATACACAAGACAAGTCAAAATCAAATAGGAAACAGGTGATAACAATTAGGAAATAACATGAGGTAACGAGGTGGGCGTGGCACACACGAGGATCGTACGGAGCTAGGCGTGACACATGGTGTATTATTTCACAGCAGTTGGGTTTTCTTTCCAAATTTGCATGTTTAACAAAAGAGAGTTTCTCCCAGATTCTTATGTAAGCGGCGGTCCGAGGCCCTGGCGGAGCAAGGGAGACCTGGTGTGGCCTGGCAAGTTGCCCAGACGGCGTTACCTCAGTTTCACATACACAAAAGAAAGAGCCGTCCCACCTGAGCTTTCTGCCATTCACTCTGGCTGGCCTGCCACACCCGAGTACCTGTCACACCCCAGGAAAGCGATTCTCAGAGCAATCAGTGCACTACCGTGTTGCGGCACCCTGGCTGACAAGCAGTGGAAGGTTCGGAAAGGGAACCGTCTCACTGGGAACACATGGGAGGGTGGTGGGGGGGTGTACACCACACTCAAAAAGAAAGACATCCCCTCGAGTCACACCTCCGGTCTTCACAATAATAATAACTCCCAAATTGTCGTGATGTGGGATAATGTTTCTGGAAATTTAACGGAAGCACAGAACAGTTTGAAGAGACG